ACCAGGTGTAGAGGTTACTTAATCGGATTTAATCTCGTGTATACGTGAGTGCATACTTGCGTACGGGCGTACATGGGAATGGAGAAAGGAAGTCAGAATTACATATACAATGTTCTTATTTCTATTTGTTAACTGAACTGATTATGTTTGATGCTCAATCAGATCCAGATAAACTGTATGCATTTTCCCGTGCTTAGCATTAATCAGGATGAACGACATGGACGTGACGAGAATTTCATTGCCCGTACGTAAGTATGCACTCACGTATACACGAGATTAAATCCGATTAAGTAACCTCTACACCTGGTACTTCTTGGGAAATGCTAATGCCGGCAATACTGTAACTTTCAAGCCTTATAACTCGAAAAGTACTTTATGAAAAAACATTTCATTATAGTGTTTTGGAAAGCTCTCGAGGTGTGCTATAAGAATATGTGATGAAAAATAGGGGGTTCCATTTAAAAAATTCAAAGTGACATTGCTCCGACTTTGATGACGCCACCCAAGGTCATACTGATCTGATCACTGAATAGATCATTTAGAACCCCATAACTTTTGTCTGAAACGTTTCTTTCTAAAATGCTCTGCTCCTGAGATAAAAGGGGTGGACGGGTGGTCTGGGACACCCGGTATAATACTAAGTATCCAACCCAATTAATAATAGTTTTAATTTTTTGTCAAGGATATTCTTATAATGATATGTATAATTCGTATAAAAAATTTGATATCAACGAAACTGGCGCCAAATTAAATTCCATGTAATTCGGATACCAAATTATATAAATAATATTAATTTTAATAATATCATTACTATAAAAGATTTGATATCAAGAACTGGCGCAAAGTTAAATCCCACTTTTTTATACCATGTCAAATTAAATACATAATAAATATTAATCTTATGATATGTATCATTTGTATAAAAGAATTGATACCAACAACTGTGGCGCCAAGTTAAATTCTACTATCAAGATAAAAAGTAAAATCCAAATGATACTATCTTTATTATTATGTACTTAATCCAAATGGTACTATCTTTAACTTTTATGCAACGAAACCTAAGTATATGTATATCTTATTGAAGGATCTTCCGATTCCAATCCAAATGATTTAAATTCCTCTTAAATGAAATTATTATATCACAATTCATTCAAAGACATTTTCTCTTCCAACTAAAGTAGTGGTTATTTAATTCTCTTTCAAAATATTATACAAAACATTATCACAAATTTAAATAGAAAAATTTTTCATGTAAAAACACTTGGCGTTGCTATATCTCGACATAATAACATAGCAAAATATTCAATATTTAGAAAAATAAGAGAAATAAGAATATAATATTTAGAAAATGTAATAATTAAAAAAATAACATAAATAAGAAGCATATTAATAAGAAAAATTAGAATCGTATCAAAAAAATATAAATATTTAGAGAAATAAGAAAAATAAGATGTATGAGAGTTAAAGTAACTAGCGAGTGTATATATGCGATTGACTTATAGACTTGTGTAAATTATGTAAATTATGAACGTTGTGAATACTGCTAAGTCTAAGAAAAATAAATTTCGGTTTGTAAGATATGTGTTATGAAAGAAAAATAAATAGTAAACTTTATTCTTATTCAGTGTAAAGTTCAGATTAAATTTATTATTACTTTCATTATTATTTTTAAATTATAATTACCTTTTATTATTTATTTTTATTAATTACTATTTTTTTATTATCAATTGTATTTGTAGTTTTTTCATTCTTTTTATTATTGATTGTTTTTATATTATAGTTTTTCTTATTCGATCTAGCAGCGCCAAGTGATTTTACATGAAAAATTTTTCTATTTAAGTTTGTAATAATGTTTTGTATAATATTTTGAAAGAGAATTAAATAACCACTACTTTAGTTGAAAAAGAAAATGTCTTTGAATGAATTGTGATATAAAAACATAAGATAATAAGTGGCT